ATATATATATATATATATATATATATTTATATATATATATATATATATATATATATATATATATATATATATATATATATATATATATATATATATATATATATATATATATATATATATATATATATATATATATATATATATATATATATATATATATATATATATATATATATATATATATATATATATATATATATATATATATATATATATATATATATATATATATATATATATATATATATATATATATATATATATATATTTTTTTTTTTTTTTTTTTTTTTATTGTCTACAGAAAAAAAAAAAAACATTATATAATAACTTGTCTATACCCTATCCTGCCTAGTTAACCTGATTAACCTAGTTAAGCCTTTAAATTTCACTTAAAGCTGTATAGAAGTGCCTTGGAAAATATCTAGTAAAAGATTGTGTTCTATCATCATGGCAATGATAAAATAAGTAAGTTAAATAGGGGGGGGGGTGGGGGTTATTAATTCAGGGGGATTAGTAATTCTGACTTTAACTGTATATATTTTCAGTCAGTTAGGGCAACATTTCATAATGTTTGAACCAAACTATTTATTCTTGTGTTTGTTTGTTTGTTTACTTATTTAGGTTGGGTGGTTTGGGGTTGGGGCTCATATGATATACACTGGCTCTCCAAAAAAGTCACCTCCTCTACTATTTCTTCTGACCTACTTTAGCTTGATGACACATTTCACCATGGAAAAATTGAAATATGATTTTGCAATGTCACAACATTTATTCCTGTTTATAGTCACACTCATCTTTCACCTAACTCTCGTTTTGATGATGGGAGAGTCGGACTGCTGTGCAAAAATGTTCTACACTGACAAAAGATCCCAATGATCCTCAATAGTGTTAATGTTTTGACTTCAAAACCTTGATGGCTAGTCCATATGTGGAAATGGTGTCTCATGCTATCCTGAATCATTCTTGCCCAATGGATTCTGGCATTGACATCTTGGAATATGCTTGTGCCATCAGGGAAGAAATAAATGCATTATTAATAACCTGGTCATTCAGTATAATCAGTCATCTCACATTTTGTTGCATCCCCAGATCATACTGTAGCACTATGCCTCAAGCTTGAATTGTAGGCACTAGGCATGATGTGTGCATCACTCCATCTGCCTCGTTTCTTAACTTGATGCACCAGTCACTATGAAACAGGGTAAATCTGGAATCATAAGATCACAGATCTTTCTTCCAATGCTCTAGAGTACAATATTCATGCTCCCTAGCAAACTGAAGCCTTTTATTCTCAATTACTCTAATCGATGAATGTTTTGTTTTTTGTTTTTCCTGAGACTAGACAGCTAGTCCCATTCCATTGAGTTCCTTTTGATTGTGCATTTGGAAATATTTCATTATTACACATAGCCATGAGATCTACTGTTGATTTTATGATTTGACCAGACATAAATTTAATTCAAAACATTTTTCTGTCCACATTTCTTTCCTTTTTTCAATAAAGTATTTAAAAGTTTTTAACCCCATTTTAGTATTTTTTTAAAAATCTTTTTCTTTTCTTGACACATGCCTATAATTTGACCTTTATGAAACAGATTAACATCTTATCCATGAACACTGGATGTGTCTTTCGACATGGTTGTTTAAGAAAGGAGATGCTGATAACCCCTGAAATCAAACTGATCAGCTCATTTCAAATTTACCCTATTGGTCAACCTTGAGGCAACCAAAACTTTATAGATTTCAGATAATAAACTGAGATTTGAAGAAAATACCTCCAAAATTACTTATTGGTTAACATGTCCAGGCTGCAGACAGGTACATTTAAAAAAAAAAAAAAAAAAAAAAAGAACATAGAACTGTCACTGATACAGGTATGATTTCTTACAACACTAAATTTGGTGATATCTGTCAGGTTGGTTGTGTGTGTACTATTTCACAAAAACTATTTGCAGCATCATTGAAATGTTACTGAAAGTAAAGTGGCTATGGGAATTGCTCTAATATGTGTCAGACAACAACAATTATTGAACAGATTTAGGTGTGAAGTGAACACTCTTAAATATATAGCTTGCCAACTGAGAGCTGCAGAACCTGTAAAAAAAAGTCTATCATGAAAAGGAATATTTTAAACTTTAAGCTTTTGCTGAAGTACTGGATGGCTTGAATTCAAAATTGCACTGCAGGGAATTTAAGGCCCTTGTCGGAGAGAAAAAAAATAAAGAAATGCACTTTTCTTTTCAGCTGTTGTAGGCTGAATTCTATCTCAAGAGCCCAGTGTCCCGAGTTTCTGAATTCCTTACATAATGGAAGAGAAATTACAAGATCCTGCCCAGATCTCTAACTAAATTATTCCCTGTACAAACACGGCATGTTAAAACTGAATGAACGTTTCTAGCCCTATAAACATAAAGCTAAAACCAGATGATTCCAAAAATGCATAATTAATACAATAAATAAACTAACTACAAACATATTTATTGCACTTGAAAGCAGTCTAAGCCAACAAATATGACAACCACAAAAGACAACCACTTTTACTCTACGTGTCAGTCTTTGTTTCTCTTGTTTTCTCTTTCTCTTGCTCACTTTTTTAGCTTTCCAAGTGTGAAAGCTGAGTTCTGAGAAACTGTCAATGCAAGCATGGCAGCAATGTTAAACCATGTTTATTTGTTTAATTGAATATATGTGTTTGTGTTTTATAGTTAAAGGGAACCTATGATTGTTTCCAGAATGTGTCTGTAAAGTTTCAGGTCAAAACACCCATTAGATTATTTATTATACCTTTTAGAATATTGTGACTTTCTGCTTTAAACACAATATTGCTGTTTTTTTATTTTATTTTTTTTTTTTAGGCCTGTGCCTTTAATGCTTATTCTCCCTCCCCACCATTCCCATGTGTCTGTCAGAGGCTGTTTCTCAATATTCGTTCTTCAGCGGTCTTGCGTCCTCGTGTTCTCCTGCAACGTCATCATCAGCTGCCAAAGTTCAGTTCCAATACTCAAGACCGCAAGTACGGAGGACGCGTGAAACTTTCCGGATGTGTTCTTGATATCGAGGATGCATCGATGCAAACTTGAGCACCGATCTCGCTCTAGAAGTCCCATAAGTCATTGTGATTGGAGATGGGAAGTTCTGCCTTTTATTTAGATTTATTATTAAAGTTCAGAGATATAACTTATTTACCTCAGGAGTTTACCTAAATGAGATAGTGAATATAAACTTCACAATGGACATCTTAATAAAGAAATAAACAAATTAAGAGTGTTTGTTTGCTAAGATTCGTATTAAAATCTGATTTATTTATATTGCGCAACATCTATTTATAATGTTTTTAGGCATAGTATAAATATTGAAAAGAGGAAAAACAATAAATCGTTGTATGAATGCTGTAATGTTTAAATTATTTACCATTAAAAACACATGAAGGTCTTATGACCATCAGGAAGAATGCATCATCTAATTTCTCACAAGCGTTCTCTGTCCTTGCGGTCTTCCGAGTTCGTTCTTTCGAGGACACCTGGCAAGACCGGGCTCCACAAGACCACAAGTCTGTTCTCTGCGTTCTTGGAATTTAGAAACAGCCAGAGTGTGCCTCAATCTCAGCCTTGTCTGCGTCAGATAGACAGCAGAGTGACAGACATGAAGGTAGCAGATTTCACGTAACCTTTGGGTCACATCCCCGGCTCGTTCTGCTCCAATCTCCAGTCTCCCTCACCATCTCTTTCCCTCAGCTCCAATCATCGCTCTCCTTCACCAGCCACCTCTCATCAAACTCGTGCACACTCCCCTGAGTATTTATTCCACACACCTGCACCAATAATCACCTTCCCTTTAAAGCCTCTGATTTCAGTCATTCTGTGGTTGGAATTGATGTCAGATGGTTCTCCTCACCTGCTCCCTGGCTTGCCTTCATCCATAGATGTTTCCTTCTCCTATGGACATTTCTCTTAAACTTGTGGATGCACAAGCTGTGATTAAGGGAAGTGACTTTATTCTCTGGTGGTTGCATGAAGATCCTTGTTTACATTGTGTACTGGTTACAAGTCTGGGGTCCGTTCTTCGTACCTCACTTAAATGATCTAAGATGATTTGACAGATCCTGGATCTTTTAATCTTGATAACTGATCTCTCGCTAATTTGGTTCTTCAAACAAGTTCGCGAATCAGATTAGAATGTCTGGATAAACTGTTCTGAGATCGCTGCGTGTGTTGTGAAGGACAGATCTATCGATCCTCGAAATCATGATCAGCAATGCAACGATTGGCTGACGGCACAGCAGCGTAATGACATCATCTGATTAATATTCAATTATCCATGTGAGCAAAATTACATCAAATTAGCAGTCAACGGTTTGTTAAATATGACACGCAATAACCATCCACATTTGTTGTGAGCTGCAGGCTTTACACTTTCATGTGTCAAGAGTATTCATCATGTATTTCAATGCAAATCAATGTATTTAAATCTACATTTAGAAAATATTTTCTTTATTATAGTAGCCGTTTTTTAATCAATGTAAAGAATAACTGGTTGTTTACAAAAGCATTTTGATATTGGTAAAGGCTTCTGCAACTTTTGTGAAGCATCACATCACTGGCATATTAACTATCAAAACATGTTTATGACTGCTGAAATGTATTATTGCTTTAAAAAAAAGTCACATATTGTGCATTTCTATTATACACAATTTGTTCTAAAGCGATCTAAAAAGTTCATTTCAATAAGTTTTCTCTTTGCACCAGATGGCAGTCTTTGTACTTTCATTTTGAGGGTGCAGATTGCATAAGTTTTATTAATATGTATAACGTTATTTATTTTATTAATGACTATAACTTTATATATATATATAGTTAAAAAAATATGTACCATTTTCCCAAGTGTATATAACTACTACTGT